TTCAATGAGTAGAGATCCCAGGAAGGAGGACCATGGCATCTCCAGAGTGAAAGAAATGAAATGCTTGTCCATTCACCTGGTGTGGCAACTGTTGCTTCAGAGATTCACCATGGCATTTTTTCAACGACAATGTGTATCTTCAATGGCCTGATTAAAAGTGTCTCTTCCTTTTGAAAAGTTAAAAAAAGGTGGGGGGGGCACGAAGGTGACATTTATCCAAGTATCATTTCACTTGCTACCTCCAGAAAGGTAGGAGATTCCTTGAGCTAGAAAATCCCTTTAAACTCAGAGGCTTTCTGAAATCCCCCAAGTGTGTGGTGTGATAGAAACTCTCTTCAGTTCACTAGCAGAACACCTACTCTGATGAATTATGTGAATACACAAATCTTATTGTCAAAGTCAGAGAAAGTAACAACCACCTCAAGCCCTGAAAAAAAAAAGGAATTAATTAAGAACTAGAAATCTCTATTGCACATTTAAGACAAAAGAAACTTGTTTTTCCTAAACACTCTTGGAAGTGATTGCTCTGAGCACAGGTAACAAAACCCTGTGGTTAATGAAGCCATTTTGGGGTTTAAACCATGACATCCTAGCCCCTCTCCACTTCCTATGTGATTATAGAAGACAAGTTTATTAGGAGAATTAAGGAAAGTGATTTTCTTGGTACTAGTCTCCTCTACTGTAGACTATTGGCTGCTTCTGGCTATTGCAATTTAAAAAAAATGTTTATGTGTGATGTGTGTATGTGTTATGCGTGTATTATATGTAATTTTTGATGTGGGTGTGAGCACATGTGTGTATGTGTGGGTGCACATATATGTGCCTATGTGGAGGCTAAAAGTCAATGTGAGGGGTCTCTCTTCACTCTCTCTCCAAGTTTGTTTTTTTTTGAGACAAGGTCCTTCTCTGAACCTGATGCTAATAGATTTGCTACAATGGTTGACCAATGAGCTTTCAGGGATCTTCCAGGTTCCCTTACCTCCTAAGCTACCTCCCTAGCGCTATCCATTTCACTTCTAGACTACGAAATCATGGCTTCAATCTTTAACTTCATAATTAAGGAGGCACACAAACTCAGAATATCAACGAGACAGAGAATGAAACAATATGGGAGGGGTGGGGATGGGGGCAGGGGCTCAATGATTGAGAACTCAGTTTTCAAACTCCCTGGTCAAAGACTGAGCAAATCTCAGCATTACATATGCTCAGCATCCACAAGCCTTGTGCTAAAACAACTCATAGGCTTGCTAATATATTATGAGTTGTCAGGAGAAATACTGACATCTGAGTGATAGTCTTCAAAGCAGCTTGGGCCTAATTGTTTGATATGCTGAAGTATTCAATACCTTGGCCTTCAGCGTCACACACACAAAAGGGGGAGGGAATACTGAGACAACTCACCAAGGGTGCCATACATAAGGAAACTTTGGCATATGCAAATTCTTGTTAGGTTTAGAAGATGGGCAAGAACTAAAAACAACAACCCATTTTGAATGTGTCCATTTGTATCCTCTTCCGTTTCAGAGGACCATTTCAATCTGACTTTGGATAAAGTGCCCTCAACTCTGGTGTGCATCAGGAATACATGAGGGCCTTTCCCCCTGCCTTCTTTTTCTTTCTCTCCTTTCTTTCTTTCTCTCCCTCCTTTGTTTCTTTCTTTCTTTGTTTCTTTCTTTCTTTGTTTCTTTCTTTCTTTCTTTCTTTCTTTCTTTCTTTCTTTCTTTCTTTCTTTCTTTCTTTCTTTCTTCCTCTTTCTTAATTCCCCAGCTGGACCCGGACCAACTAATTCCAAGTCTCTGGGGCCAGGACTCTGGAGCCCACACAGGCAGCTAAATGGCTCCAAAGTGTACCAGGCTTGAACTAGCAGCTCTTCCCACTATGGTATCTTACAGGTTCCTGCCCTGAGCTCACAGTCCAAACAACACAGGCACACAGTGCTCTTTGTTAGAAGTGATTCAAAGTAGGCAAGCAATTAAGAATAATCAGATCCAGACCAGAAAGACGATTTGCTTTAGGAGTTTCACCAGAAATTGTAAGAGGATTGGTTCCCCAGGCTTCTCCCCCATTGTTTTCTGTTCTCTTAAGATGATCGAACGGAGCAGGAAGACAGATGTGACTTCTCTCTATGTCAAAGAAAGGAACTTTCCGATTTAGAATAGCGCATATGACACTGAATGGACACAATCAAGAGGATAATACCACTTTTCTAGCAAGAAACAAATAAAACAGATGAGTCTTTAGAGCAGACGAAGCTGTGCTTATTCAAACAGGTCCTGGGCAAAGAGGTGTTTGGAGGGATTGAAAGAGTGTGGCCACACCCAATACACTTAGAAAGGTCATCTGTCCTTAGGTACGTTCTACCTTTTGTTGGAAACAGGGTCTCCTACTGGCCTGGAATTTCAGCATGTAGGCCAGGCTAACCCATCCATAGGCTTCCAGAAATCTGCCTGTCTCTAACTCCTACCTCACCATCACTGGGTTTACAGGTCTGCCTGGACCACAAGGCCAAGCTTTTGTAAATTCCAGGAATGGATGAAGGTCCTCATGCTTGAGAGGGAAGTGTTTCACTGACAGCCACCTCCTCAGCTCTGCTAATGGGTATCCTTTAAAAGAGATGAAGTGTCAGACACACTCTAAACAGGTGTCCTGTAGAAGAGCGTCCTGAAGATGTAAATAACGCAATGGAGACTGTACTGTTAATGCTTCCAAATCCAGGGCGGATGGAAGGAAGAATTCCAAGAGGTCAGAGAAGGGAAAGAAAAAAAAAGTGTGAATATTTTTTCTTCCCTTTTTATCAACAGGCTGTCTAGGAATTCCAATAGTAATCGCCTTATAGTAACACTGTACCGAAGCAATAGTACCTCATTATTTAGTGAAATATCTACCTTTTCCCTGTCACTCACAATACTTCTCAATCCTAGAGGACCATATATGCTTAAACTAGAGAACTCATGGTGTCTTTAACCACAAGAATTCAGTCAACCTGCAAGAGCTGGAAAGTGGAGCAAGCTACTCTACGGTGCTAGACTAAGACACGGCCTGAGCCTGTGACAACTTGGCAGTCTGTCCCAAGGGACTGTTCTTCATTAAGTTTTCTTTCATTAAAGACTGCTGTCTTTTATCTTCTCTTACCACAGCCCTTCAAAGAGTAAGGCTTCTTCATTGGATGTGAGAACAAACCAGCAAAGCAGGATAGTTCATGAGTTAAAGAAGCAGGCCTTGAGGAGGCACAAGAGCAGAAAAGCCTCATTTCCCTCTGTGAGCTTCCAGATCTGATGACTGACAGGTGTCCTAACTAATATAGGTGTTCCTAGAAGCCACTAGGTAGGACTTGATTCAAAAAATGTACACACACACACACACACAAATATGCACACACATATGCAAACACATATACACAGAACAAATAAGATAGGCAAATATAAAAAGCACACCACTTTCCATTATTCTCATTTTTCCACCAATACTATGCCACAAATTTGAAGAGAATCATTTTTTTTTTTTTTTTACTCTTTGAGCCATGATACAAGTGTTTTCCAAAGTTGGGGGAGGGAGGCGGGGAACATTAACTTTGACAATTCATTCAAAAGATGCGGTGATCACCCACAGTTGAGTTGAAGGGTGGGAGTAGCAGCCATGACAGCTGCAAGCCACACTGCACAGGAAGAGTCCCTTTGCTTGAGATTTTTATAATATTCTTAAAGATGCATATTAAATAACTTCCTCTGGACCACAGACATGATCGAACTCAAAAAATAAAAAGCCCTATAAATACTGCCAAGTCAGCCTTGTCTCCGTATCTCCCTTCTTGCATAAAATGGAATATTTCCAACCAAGCACTGAAACATAAATATTAAAATAATAAGTGGGATACACCTACAAATCTACTTTACAATCTCGTCACTACTGTAGCACCTTGTGACCAGGGCCGATGCATTCATTTTGTAAAGAACACGAGAGCTCTGAGAAGCTTGAGGACTCGGATGCCTCACCCTTAAATATTTATAATCACCTTTTCGAGTCCTAAGCTTTTATCGTATTTCATCCATCTAGAGAGTTCAGCCTATGCTAGAGATTCCAAGGCCCCCTTTGGAGAGGAAAAAGAAAAATGGAGAGAGGAAACCCCTCAGAAAGGCAGGGTTCAGTGATCTCAAGATGACTTCCTGTTGGCGCCGTAGTGAACTCGCTTCACCCTGTAAAGATACCAATCCACAGTAGGGTCGACCAGCCATGTCCATGGCTTTCTAGTCCCCAAGTATCAGTTTTACAAAAGATGCCACGTCTGCTGCTTTGGATTCATGTACGGTGAAAAACGGATGTTGCTGCGAAAGAGAAGAAAAATACGTGGCATTAATACTTGGCACTGATGATATACAAGAATTAGTAAATCAATATATCTGTTTAATAAATGGGCTAATATCTCTATTGAGGCAAACTGGATTTCTCATATTCCTTGTGACGTCAAGTACACATTTACTGATGTGCTTACTTCAAGGCTCTCTCTTTGCCGTCTCCCATTTTGATACATCTAACTTTCTAATACAAAGAATCATAGTTTAAGTAACATATGCAAGTATGCTACATAATTCCATCCATACAGAAATACAAAGACTGGCTAAGACCATCTCTCTGCAAAATCATTTTAAACAGCTGCAATAGAACAATTAAAACTTCACAGACGCCGGGCGGTGGTGGCGCACACCTTTAATCCCAGCACTTGGGGGCAGAGGCAGGCGGATTTCTGAGTTCGAGAGTTCGAGACTATCCTGGTCTACAGAGTGAGTTCCAGGACAGCCAGGACAACACAGAGAAACCCTGTCTCAAAAAAAAAAAAAAAAAAACTTCACAGACTTAGGTTCCCCCACTTCCCAGGATGAGGAACAGGGCGGCAGAAGAAGACAGTAATGTTGCTGAACAGTAAATGGGCAAGGAAGGTATCCATGCCCTTGATTGACACTAGAAAACGGGTTTGAACTAAGACAGCTAAGGCCGTTTTCTAAGGCCACACCCACAGCTAAGACTTACACTACCTGAGTCCTGAAGAGTTTGAGCCATTCACAGGCTAATGTAGACTGCCAAACTACTGGCCAATTCAGGAAAAAAACTCAACTCAGAGATTAAAGGTTGAAAAAAAAAAGCAAAGTAAAATTCTTTGTGTACAGGTCGGATTAAGTCAATTTAAAGAAAAATACAATGTCATGTCTTACACTTTGCATGACTCCCACATTCCAAAGCAAGTCAAATGACAAAGCCATTCTTTTTCTGTGTAACAGAACAATCCCCCTGTATTACTCAGCTGGGTTATAATATGTGATGACCTACAGACCCTTCGATCTCCAGCTAAAGAGAGACACATTAGGTCATGTTCCTTGGCTCTTCTAGTGGGACCAGAAACCAAGTAAAGAAACTCCAAAGGACAAGTCTTTGAGGTCCCCACAATCACACACCCCTCCATCTCACCTACTATGCCCAGGCCTCTGACTAGCCAGCAGTGCTGCTCTCAGTGGCCACTGTGAATGGCTCAATATGACTGTTTTCTCATGTAGTCATGACTCACTCTGCTTCCCTGATGAGGGGTTCAGTTTGCAACCTTCACTCTGCCTACCAGTAGTAGGTTTTCTAATTATATTTGCTTGAAACCTGACAGCAGAGGGCCAGATGAGTCAGCTCTGTGGGGAACTGAGTGCCCACCCATGCAAGTCTTAGGAAACAATGCAAGGGAGGGAGGGAACAAAGGAATAAAACCCCAAAGATAGTGGGTGGTCCTTGCTGAGCATTGTGACTCAGAACATGGAAAGTTCTTCTGTTTTTGCCCATTAGCAGGTATGGGCTGAGTGCTGGCTCAGAGCCTTATGCCCAGTGTGAAGTTCTAGATTCATAGCCCTTCATTCTAAATTCCCCTATCTGCCAAATAAGTGACACCTCTTTTGATTACTGACCACTTATGCAGCACAGTTACCAAGGTCTTGTCTTTTGCTGTTTTGTTTGTTCGTTTGTTTGTTTGTTTTTGACCACCGTACTTAATAGCTTTCCACATAGCCCCCTTGACATTTGGGGATCCTTTAACGTGTTTAAAAAGCTCTTCACTGGGCTGGAGAGATGGCTCAGAGGTTAAGAGAACTAGTTGCTCTTCCAGAGGTCCTGAGTTCAATTCCCAGCAACCACATGGTGGCTCACACCCATCTGTGATGGGTTCCGATGCCCTCTCCTGGTGTGTTTGACAGCTACAATGTACTCATATAAATAAAATAAATCTTTAAAACAAAAATCTCTTGACTATCAAAATAGGACATGCCAAGCCTTGGATTGTTTGGATGGCTGAGTGTAGTGCCTGTCGGCTCTGCCTAGGCACTTATTCTGCTGTCAGCTAGCTCAGTACATGGAGCTCCAGTCCATGAATGGATGAAATAATATGATCTGAAACCTTTAATTTACAGCAAGTTCTTTAGCTGTCTTTTAGTATATCCCAGAATAAGAAAGTACCGTGAGAGCCCAAGGACAAGAGGCACGAGAACAAGCAGCCAAGCCAATCAACAGGAAAGCTGTGATGAGCCTTGTGTGGGGCTTTGAAGTTGAAGAGCACTGAGAACTTGTTTCCTTCTATAAACAACTAAGAATAGGAAGGACAGCAACCTGGAGGTGGGCAAATGGTGTCCCACAAACAATCTCTAGGCTATAGCTCCATCTTAAGCCTCTTCCCCTAAAAAGGGCCAAGTCCTCAGTGAAAGGACCCTGTACTATTTAGGAGTCCTATGGTGCCAGGAAAAAGCGTGGAGATTCATGGACATGCTGCCAGGAAGCAGAGAGGCAAGCCACAATCACTAACAGGCCTCCAAAATATCCTGGGTATACACCTCAACCTCCAGGACTGTGGGTTCAGCTCTCCTCATTTCATACTGCAATTTAAATCTAGAACTTCCTCAGATATTTGGAGAAGACAATCACTCCACTGGGAAATCATCTGAACACCATGGCTACTACTTCTGGTGGTAAATATCTAAGGCAGGGGACATCAAACTATAATCCATTGACCAAATCTAACTCCGTGTCTGTGGTGGTTCGACTGAAAAATGTCCCCCATAGGATCAGATGCTTGAATACTTGGTTCCCACTTGGTGGTGCTGTGTGGGGAAGTTTAGGAGATGTGGCCTTGCTGGAGGAAGTATGTCAGTTGGGGGCAGGCTTTGAGGTTTCAAAGATTCATGCCATTCTCAGTTGGTTCTCTCTGCTTTCTGTGTACAGTTCAAGATGTGGGCCTTCAGCTTCCCACTCCTGCACTGTGCCTTGGCTTTACCCTCAAAGGTTCTAACCTTCTGGAACTATAAGCCCAAATAAACCCTTCTTTCTCTAGGTTGACTTGATTTGCATTCTTTTATCATTGGAATAGAAAAGTTGCTAATATAGTGTCTGACTTTCAAATAAAGTTTTATTGGAACACAGCCACATGCTTTTTATGCCTTCCAATGTTGAATATGGCTACTTTCAGCTCAATTCCTTTGTTATAACAGCAACTACATGGCTCATTAACCTAAAATACTATCTAAACGTTTACCAGAAAAGTGTTGGTTAATATCTGCTGTGGGAAAAAAAAATGCTCCAAAACAGACGTTTGAGGGGATGAGCAAATAAGATGGGGTTTGAGGTGCGTATAGTCCTCCACTGAATTAGGGTGAAAATTATTGGAGATCCTATAAGAAGTATATATCTGGTTTGGAGCCTTGATAATAATATTCCTTTATTTGGAAAAGTCATCTTTTTCCCCCCCTCTTCCTACCTCTTTACAAATTCCTAAAATTGAAACAATAGCCCTTCCAGCACGTGTTGCCCAGTGCTGAAGTCAGGGAGCTGCGACTCAGAATTTCCATTTCAAAACCTCAATTCCACAGGAAAGCAGGGAATAGTTACAGTCTTAAAAAGGCACGTCCATTTCCAGTACCACAAAGACTAATGCCATAAAGGGGGGAGGGTTGGCCCACACAATCTTACATTAATAGACATGCCAAACCCCTCCTCAGTGTTTGTTAGATTGTATCAGGAAGGCAGACGTCAACACCAGATGCCAATGTATAGGACACATTTTTTTTTTCTCAAATGTTTTCTGATGAAAATTTGGATAAGAGGCCACTTAAATTGAAGAAGGAGAAACAAACAAACAACAACAACAAAAAAAGGCTGGTCAGCTACTGTAAACGACAGAAAAATATTCTTATATTAGAAATTAGTTATAAAACAGAGACTTCAGGATTCCAAGTTCCGTAGGATCCTACAGGAATCACTCCTTGTCTACCACACTTTCTATGAAATTATCTGTTAAATGTTAAATGTCCACACCTACCACAAAAGGGGAGTTGGGCCTGGAAAAGCCACCAGTTGATCACTTCTAAAAAATAATAATGATTCAAGAACAGATCTTCAACTCAAGCATGTAGATATATTCTCAAATGACCTTACATCTGTTTGGGTTTTCGATTTTTTAGGTTTATTTATTTATTTCAAGTCTATGAGTACACTGTCGCTGTCTTCAGACACACCAGAAGAGGGCATCAGATCCCATTACAGGTGGTTGTGAGCCACCATGTGGTTGCTGGGAATTGAACTCAGGACTTCTGGAGGAGCAGTCAGTGCTCTTAACCAATGAGCCATCACTAAAGCCTCTACACATCTGTTTTCATATAGCTGCTGAGTGGTGAATACTAGACACTGCTTTTTAAAGCGGGGACAATGGAAGTTCAAGGAGATGGCCTGACTGAAATACTTCTAGTCAGAGAATGGCCCAGAGTTAAAGAAACCAAAGCCTATCACCAGAACTCAAACAACACATGTCTGAGATGGTCACACAGGTCATCTTTTGATAACTCATTTTTAATATTTTATATTTAATTATGTGTATATGTTTACGGGGAGGTGGAATGTTTATATACCCACAGAGGCCATCAAAATCTCTGGAGCTGGAGCTACAGGGCCCAACATGGATGCTAGGAACTGAATTTGGTCCAGGTCCTCTACAGTAAATGCTCTTAACTATTAAGCTATCTCTCCAGCCTCTCCTCTATAACTTTTATGAATATTTCCAAACGGTGTGTCTCAGCTACCCCAGAACACTGTTCAATAAGAGATACCAGGAGCCTGCGCTTCTACAACACACTCAGCGGATCAGACAGTGAGGCTGTGGGCAGGATAGAAGAAAGCACTCTGTGACTACTGCTAGCAGATCCACTAGCAAGGATCTCAAATTTTGCTCTTCCCTCTATTGGGATTGAACAACATCATAATTCTCCTGTGGTGGTTAGCTTTAACTGTCAACTTGGCACAACCCAAAACCATCTGGGAAGAGAGTCTCAGTGAGGGATTAAGTACACTGGGTTGGCCTGTGGGCATGCCTGTGGGAGAAGGTCTGAACTGAGTTAATTGACGTGAGAAGATCCAGCTCACTGTGGGCGGCACCATTCTCTAGGCAGAGGGTCCTAACCTGTTCTAGGAGTGGCAAAGTAGAGCTAAATGCAAGCAAGCAAGCTAACATGTATTTATCACAGCAACAGAAATGAAGTTAGAACATCTCCCCCCCCACCCGTCAAAATTATAACCTCGGTCATTAAGATAAACCTGAGTAGTAGGCAGTAAGCACACATTCACATATAGTCTAAATTATTTCTCTCCAAAATGTACTTGTCCCACGTTCTACGTCTATTTAGGTAGAGGCACTATTATAGAGCAACAGTGTTGAGGTTTTGATCTCGTCATATGTTACTGATAGGAAAAACAATAAATCCAGGACCAGATGCTTTACTCCTGTAAAAGGACTTACTATACTTCTTTCCACCAAAATGGAGACCAAAAAGTAGAGAGAAAGAAGATCACCTAATTCGTCCAAGATTTATTATGAAAAATCGATGGGCCACACGGCTTATGAGCTTATCCCATTGAAGTCTCTGAACTGACATTTCCACCACATTTATAGTAGGAATCTTCCAGACTTGAAAACATCAGATTCATGGACATCAATGTTTTCCAGGTTTACCAACATGGCAAACATCACTGGGAATGATGACTTATTCTGAACTTGTGTCAAAAACAACAACAACAACAACAAAAAAAAAGCATTAACAAGGCCAGCAAGATGGCTTAGCAAATAAAAGTATTTGCTGCCAAGCCTGAGGACCTGAGTTCAATCCCCAGGACCCACGTGGAGGAAGGGGAGAACTGACTCCAGCAAAGGGTCCTCTGATCTCTACATGTGCACTGTGATACATGTGTACCCACAAATATACAAACACATGCACATAAAATAAATAAGAAAACATTTTTTAAAGGATAACTAGCAGTGACAAAGGACCCTTAACTCTGTCTTGTGTCCAGTTCCCGGGAATCAACCATATCTCAATGGATCAATTCCTCCCTAAATGTTTATTTATGTATCGTCTTAGTCAAGGCTATGTCACTAGCTGTTATTTGCTAACTTGCACCAAAGTGTTTGCACTCACCATAAGCTCTGGATATGTGGGCCGTTCTTTGGAATTTTTCTTCAAGCTTAAAGACAAAGAATAATCACATTAAAAATCTAGCAACGATATTTTTTCACTGTTAGGACTTTAGAATCAGTATAAAACCATAACTAATTTTTTTTAATGCACAAAAAAACAGGTCTTCAATTCTAAATTATGAAATCTTAGAAATTATGTTTTAAACTACATTGGGCTTGCTTTAACACGAATAAGTATGTATGTGTGTACTGTGTGTGTGTGTATGTATGTATGTATGTATGTATGTATGTATGTGTTTATTTTCTTTTAATACATCATGGATGTTATTCCGTCTAATTCTCTTACCTATAGCCATTGCATCTCAAAACCTATCTGTTCTTTCTTTCAAGGTAGCTTTTTATCCCACGTCTTGGAAAAGAAATCAGCCAATGTTTCTCACAGGACTAAGTACTCCTCACTGCCTCCAACTGCATGCCCCTCCCTGTTTGTGGTTCCCTCTCATATAAAATTTGTTTGTATATGCTCCTACCCAAACCTGCCTGAGACAGAAGCCACAAACCTATATTTTTACTAAGGAGGTGCTTCTTGTTCACTGTCTTGGTGGATAAAAACGGAAAGCATATTCAGTCAGCAAATTAGCAATGATTCTTAGAAATATGTCTGTGGTCATGCACTGCTGTCTAGTAGTCACTCAGTTCTCTGAGTACTCCCAACATTTAGTAACATTTGATATCAGAGGCAGTCCTCATAAAACTATAACGTGAAAGAGATCAACCCATCACCCCTGTCCTCAACCCACCGCTGGGTCTAAAATGGAAAAAGAAACAGTTTACTTGATGTTAGAGCTTCAGGTTATAAAATAGAGGAAAGGATACCCTTGAAAACTTGATGCACAAAACAACCTACAGCTTCCTGTAGCCACTGGGCCATAGATCATACTTGAATGGGAAGACAGTCACCGATAGTTTGAGAACCGCAACATGACAGCATATTGGGTTCCTGGGATTTGTGCTGATAGGTCCTTTTGAGCAAGTGAGATCCTGAGCATCTCACATGAGTTCTGCTACACCCATAGAAGTGAACCCCCACGAGGGGTGCAAAGTACAAAACTGTGGGAGAGTGACGTTACTGGGAGATGTTGAACTATAGGCTTATGCAAAATGAAATTCTCTTTAAAAGTTAAAAGGATGGGAAGCTTTTGAACCAAAACAACTTAAAAGCAGCCTACCAGTTTATTCCAGGCAATGTTGTGAGTAGAAGCCAGGGAACCTGAGACAGGCTACAGGCAGAGGTGAGGACAGAAGTGTCAACCTGGAGCTGAGGGCAGACCTAGGACCTAGTGGCCTCAGAGACCAGACAACCTATGAGAGAAAGTTCACCTCAACTGAGGATAAAAATAAGATGTGTTAGAAAGAAGAATTACCAACTGTCAGCATGAGGCTGATATGAGAATGTGTACCTGGGTGAAATGAATGAACTCTTAACCCACTGGTGGCTTTGCATATGCCTATATCCTGAGGGTCAATGCTGGTGGTTCCCAATGGTAGCTATTCAGTACCTCCACCCCATGGGATATTTCTCAACATCTGGAGGCATCTCTGGTTGTCACAACTAGTTGGTAGTATCTGACAGAGGCAGAGGATGTTGCTAAGCATCCTTCAATGTGCAAGTCTGCATTCCACAACAAAGACAATCCAATTGGAAATGCCACTGCTGCAGATATCAAGAGGTCATGAATACTTGGACAGTGTGGAATTGGCTGACCCTTTCTTTTTTTTTTAACTTGCTATATCCTTCTCTAGATTGGAATGCAGTTGTAAGAACTGTCTCCAGTTGGTTTACATGACATTTGTTTATGTTCTCGTCATAACTACCTCATGCCTCCTATCTCTCTCTTCTGTCTTCCTAGAAACAAAAGGTTGTCTAAATTCAAGTATTAGTTCATCTGGGAAATAAGTACAGAAGAAGAAATATCCTTTGGGGTCACTGTTGTCTCATTCATAAAGCCTAGATTCTTCTTAAGAATACAGAAGTCCCAAATATCCAGCTATTATTCAAAGCAAATCTAAATCCAGAAATTCTTATTCATTGGTTAAACAGTTTAACTTCTTAAATCAATATAATAGTACAAATACAACAGTAAAACTACACTTAATATTCAGGGGATTAAATAGGAAATCTGAGGGGCCAGCAAAATGGTTCAACTGGCAACAGGCACTTGCTGCCAAGCCTGAAAAATCTGAGTTTGGTTCTTGGAGCCCATACAGTAGGAGAGAACAGACTCCTATGAGTTACCCTCTGATCTCCATGTGTGCACCATGGCAGCATGCACCCCACACTATGGGAGAGGGAGAAGAGAGTGGGAGGAAGGAAGGAGGGAGTAAAGGAGGAAGGAAGAGGGAGAGAAGGAGAAAAGATAAAAATGTTTTAAATACATTAAATCTGAAATGTTCTATGGCCCATCTTCCCTTGACTAACTTTTTACTCAACAGCAGAACTAAGGGATTGATTAGCCAAGAAGAATATCTTGACCTTGAAGTGTTAACATAAAGAGTTCTTGTAGCAACCAAATGACCTCCATGGCCGCGCTGATGTTTGGCCCCTGTTTACTTCGTAATAGAAGGATTCCCTCTTCCAGACTAGCTAAAGGCATTTTTAAAAAATCCTCTTTTTTGTTATTCTTGTCACTGTGACATTACAGAGAAGATCCCAGACCTTACAGGGACTAGGCAAGCACTCTGTCACCAAGCTACATCCTTAGCCCCTGGGCTTTCAAGTTTCAAGTAAAAGTGACTGTGAGATAGGACATTTGTCTCCCCCAGAAGAGTTTGCAAAACTTCCTCTCTGCTTTAATTCATCTTTTTTTTTTTTTAATGTGGGAAAGGTCACCCAATTAACCAAGCACAAAGTACTTAAGATCCATCAGACCTCAGAGGCTGTTGCTCAACTGCCCAATAAGCTACCTCTTGACTTACAGCCCTTAATCAGAAGGGAAAGTGTACCCCCAACTACAGAATTCTAAGGAAAAGCTCTTTCACAGTGGCTAGCCATGGTAATGACACCTGTAATTTCAGCATTCAGGAGGCTGAAGCAGGAGGATTACAGAATCAAGGGGCAGCCTGAGCTATAGGGGAACTTTTTAGGACAGCCTAGTGTATATAGTAAAATCTTATCTAAAAAGAAAGGAATAACAGAGAGAGAGGAGAGAGAAAGAGGGGGGGAGGTAGACAGGGAGAGAGACAGAAAGAAGGAGGAAGGGAAGAAGGAAAGGAGGGAGGGAATAGGAGAGAAGGAGGGTAGAAAGGAGGGAGGTGGAAAAAGGGAGGAAGATGGAGAGGGAGAAAATGAAGGGAGGTGAGAGAGAGAGAGAGAGAGAGAGAGAGAGAGAGAGAGAGAGAGAGAGAGAGAGA